AAAAGCCACAATTGACAAAAAAATCTATTCCTTAGGAGCTGTTTGCTTTCCAGCATCACTCTCAAGCATGCTATATCGAGGATCATTGGCAAGTGGTTTTCCATCTGACCCCATTTCAGTAGACGTATTCCCGAAACGTGCTCCGTCATCCATCGTCAATGCACCTGCACCGAGACCAAAGCCAACACCTTTCGGACCGTGCTTTCGTCCATAACACTGCTTACAGAAAAGATCAGATCCATGTTGAGCAATAGTGCACGAATCCAGAAGTTTATTACACATGCCTGAAAGTGCAGTTTGGGGCAGTGCATACACGCCTGTGTGCTCATTGCTATTACCATTCTTACTTTATTCACAGGTATGTAATCTAGATGAACGACACGGCTTATAACGAGATCGCAATCAACCGATGAGTGTACCCTTTAAGCCTATTAAACTTCATTCCGCGTTTGTTTGCTCTACACTCAACAAAATCTAACGCAACGAACTAATCGACTTTTCGATTCGGAACATTTTCTCAATTTGATGTGATGAAAGGGGGTGAAGCGTATCCCTTCAAAACTTTTAAACATAAGGAGGCTATGAAATACTCAAATAGTGTCAATGAAAACATCAGTTAATGAGAGAACGGATGAAAATTGTGGAGAAGTGAATACTATGTAATCGTTGTTGAAATCTAAAAGAACTGAACTAATATCGCGTTGATCGTTTCGGAATCGGTCTGAACCGCTAATGAAATGAATTCGTTTCGAATTATGCTTGTTCAATTTTGAATTGTTTTCCTAATTACCTACTTTTAACTCTGAAATGTCTCTAGAACAATTTGAGATCAGTTGACGCAGAAATCTACGTTTAATTTGAAAAGTTGCTTCTTCACTCGTAAATACTGATTATACGAACAACCAAAAGCAAACAAAAAAATTTCCATGTTAGATGATCGTTAGAAATTTAACGAGTGTTTTATGTGTTTATAATAGGAGAATGTTGCATTTGGTTAGTTCACTGGAGGAATTAATTTGTTAGCATCGGGAAAGTGAAAACATACAAAGGCATAAATAACCATGACGACGACACAAAGTAATTGGACAAGCGATGAACATGAAAAATAAACAATTTCAACATTTCAACTGCAATTAAACATTCATTTGACACACAAACATTTTTCATTTTGAATGACCTCACAGTCAGAGTAACACTACAAATATGTACAATAAAGTGAAATCGCCCAAATTTCATCTAATTATTAGTAGATGTGAGTTGCACATTCGAGACAGTACCGACAAATTTATATTCGAACTTACGTCATTTCGACTTCAGTGTTGCCGAACTGTTCGCCAGTGTCCATGGTAAGTGCGCCAGCGCCAAGACCGAAACCTACTCCTTTCGGACCGTACTTCCTACCATAACACTGTCTACAGTAGAGTTCAACTTGATGCTCACAACAGCTTGTCGAATCCAGCAATTTGTTACACATTGCTGCAAATTCATGAGAAGCATGCAAACAAACGTTTTGCTGCAATTAGTGAACGTGGACGAAAGCTGCTGCTACTCGACTAACTCTATAAACAGTTTTTTTTTTCGAAGTGCCATTTTGAATTTTCCACCCGATACGAAAAAAAACAACAATAATTTATTACAACGAAACGATAGCTGCGGCTTGACGATGGAAATATTACAGACTCCAGAGAACATAAGCATCTTATTTTTAAGATTTCGGCGATTCAATTAAGTGACTGACGT